TCAGTCCAATAAAGTCTTCCATCTTTTTCAGTTGACGCGGTAGCCTCAGATCAAATCCTGTAGTCTTGGTGAATTTACTGCAAATATCCTGGACGTATATCCATAGATGGCGCACGCCCTCCTCTTCAGCTTCTTGTTTTGCCTGCCGACAGGTACCTCTGAAGCCAATCCAATGGGTCCCGTCTTTGTTACGAATTTGACCAAGCGTCATATGATCGTAGATTAGGTTTCGGACGTCGCGATTGAGTAGGCTAAAGAAGTAACTGGTTTCGTTCGGGCCTTGTGCGGGAGGGGCTGCATCTTGTGGAATCATGATGTCAGCGACGCGACGGGAGGTCGGTATGGTGATCGACGATGTGGTTGTGATTGAAGACTGAGCTGTAAGTCGACCCGAGCTTCGAAAGGCTGTGTGTACGGTCGAGCTCCCACGTGTGGTTATGGGTGTTTATGCAGGGGACGATCGAATCGAAATCAGGGCAAGGTCTTGAATATATATACATTAGAAGGGTACTTGATGGCGTGCTCTAAGAAGCTCGAGCTCGAGCGTCGAGAGTGAAATATTCGTGTAATCAAGGGGCCAATCGCCTATTTCCCTGCCCGGCTGCCCAGTCTTGCTCTGAGTCAATGCTCGATTCGCATATACTTACTCCTCAATGTGGATCACTGAAATGTCAATATTGAGTCCTTGGTGTAAGCATCGTGTGTGACGTAAGCGGGAGTAGGTCAAGGTTGGTATGTGGTATATGTATTCATCGGCTTTCATAACTCGTACAGCTTCGTCTCTACCGGTATCGACTCCAGTATTCCGTAGCTCAATCTCTGTTTCTGCTTGGACTCCACCTCTTGAAGACGAACTCTCGAACTGTGTACTTCTTTAAAATGCTACCAATGTCAAGCTTGAACCCATCCAAGCTCATATAATCCGCATCCCACGGTGCCGGTACTTCAACGTAGACCAGCATCAGTGTCTTCATGACCTGGGTTTGCACTCGGTTTACGCGATGGAACCACCACCAGTCCCTGCGCTCCTTTTCCGCGGCTCTGACTTGGGCTTGACCGTCCGTTTGCTCGGTCCAGTATGGGGCTGAGTAGGAAGGAATGATCATGATCGCAAACTCGGCATGTGTGAACGCAGGACCGCGAATGTAGAGCAAGTAGTCGACAGCGAACTTGACACCAGGCCGCACGACCCAGCCCAGGGATCGGAAGTGGTGAAAGACAACGTATTTCATCAGGAAAGGGTTGTCAGGCTCAATAGGCGGAATACACGTCATAGCAGGATCCACTCGAGTAGCGTCATTGCTCATACGGTACGCAGTACGAAGATGCGTCAAAGCTCTTTTGAGATCATCGGATTCGCCAGAACTGGACGCATGGGCGCAGTATACACGCAAGAGGTACCATGCTGGGTAGTGTTGTGCAAGATCCATGGGAGCCTGGGTGTCCACGTTGACGACTTGCAAAGCACCAAGGACGTATGTCAGGAAGAAAGCCTCCTCGGGTGTGAGCTGAAGATGCTCAAGATCCACAATGTCAACCTCTAGATCAGCTTCAGCGTCGGCCGGTGCGGCAGGGCCATCTGTGTTTTCATTGATCGCCGGAGTTGCTGTTGCATCTTCTGGCTTGGTGATGTCCTTGGCGTCGCTACCTACGAGCTTGTTGATGTTGGCGTCGGATACGATCTTGCCTTCTTGCCGTAGCTGTTGCTCAATAGCCTCGCGCTGCGCCTTGGCTCTCTCTAACTTGAATTGTCTGCGCTCTTCCCGCCTTGATTGTGTAACCTCGGTGCTTGTCTTGGACGCCTGGGCACCTCGCCTTCGCTTTTCAGCGACTAACCACTGTGGTTCACTTCGGCTGAGGGACCCTTTGCCCCAGAAGCCTTGTTCCCAAAGAGCTCGGATGGAGGCCGGATCGGTGACGTGGATTGACTGGGTCTCTGCAGAGTAGTATGCTCTGTGGATGACGATGTGTGACTCGGGCGACCACAGCGACTGCGAAATCAGGCTGATGAATAGTCGCACGATGGAAATGGGGTTGTGCGGGATGAAGGCAGGCAGCGCATATACGTCTAGTGGCAGAGGCTTCGCATGTATTTCGTTATAGTTGGGTCGTTTTGGGCGAGGTTTCCTCGAAACACCGTTGGCTGGTTCTTGGTTCGGCTGAGGTAGACCCTCTGGGCGCTCCTCGCTTGCAGCAACAGCATGCTCAAGCTGCTGAGTCGAAGACATGCCTCAGTCCAGCTCGATGTTCGACGAAACTGTACTCGCGTTAGTCCTGCGCGGGTTTTGAGGCAATGTGAAGTGTAGCAAGTAATGTCGATCAGATACCGTTGTAGTCTATTGTAACGGAAACAGCATCGAGAGCCAAACGCAGTCAAGTGAATGCATGCGCCGGCAATCGTATAAGTGAAAAGTTGTCATCATAAGACAGTGAAACACGTGAAAGGGAATCGTTGGTACTTACCCGGCCTTTGCGACTTCAGGTAATGGCGTCGTCGACGAGCGTTGCGAGCTTCATGGTGGAGTGGTGCTGAAGGTGAGAGGAGAGCGCAAAAAGTTTGGAGATGACTGTTTGCCAAGGCCGGATTTGATTGGCCGTCTTGGCCGACCGCACAGCAGTCCAGTTCCTAACACACGACAGCCACCGTACCACTGGTTTTTGAATGCGCGTAGCGGTCGTTGACAGTCGCACACAGTATATGCATCACGATACCCATAGACTGCGGCTGGGGCTTGTGCTTGCCCTAGGAACGCCTGTTGTGACGTAATAAGAGCAGCTACCTCCGAGAAAGTAAAGAACGTCTTCGTGACGCCACGCGAAAGCGATTAGGCATCTGCACCTCTTACACGAATAGTTCCTGCCTGATCAGAGACTTACTCCAAACATACAGCAGCTCTAGATATATACCGAACAGCTTTCAAGATGCTGCCAGCGGCAAGATGGTCTTTACGACTGCCACGCCAGAGCGCTCGATCAATCACCACGAAAAGCATACCACGGCTAGCCCTTCGCAGTCGCCTACCGCGCAACACGACGCCGCCAACGACCTCAGCATATTCTACGAGACCACCTAGCAACGATTCCTCATCAAACACACATGATGGGGCCCCCAAAGAGACATCGAAAGTGGACGCCGTGTCCAACGCCCTCTCGACCACGCCCGACTCCGAGAACAACCTCGTAACGCCCGTGTACATGCCCGAAGACCCGAACGCCGTCCTAAAGCAGACACACCCCGCCATGCGTCTTCTGGACAACTCGTCTCTTATAGTACAACGGCAGCTGGAAATGATGAACGTGCTCATGGGCTTCGAGCAAGCGAACCGCTACGTTATCATGGACCCGCACGGTAATCATATTGGATATCTCGCCGAGCAAGACCATGGCATAGGGAACGCCATGGCGAGACAGATGTTCAAGACGCACCGCAGCTTCACGACTCACGTCTTTGACCGGGACGAAAAGGAAATACTAAGGTTTCATAGACCTTTCAGCTGGATCAACTCGAGAATACGCGTGTATGATGCGGTAGGGCCCGATGAGAGCACCTATACCAGCTCGGCAAGTCTGCAAGGCACGAGTGTCAAAAGCATAGCCAACCAAACGAGCGCAAATGTCTCAACTTTGGCACTCCGAGACATGAGGATTATCGGAGCTTCGGAACAGGAGTGGGCACCATTACGAAGGAAGTACAACCTGTATCTCGCAAGGAATCTCGAGGACGCCGCCGCAGGACCAGACGCGCCCCAACTGTCCTCTGGTGACCTGCCAATCTCAGACTCTAAAGCCGTGGCAGTAGCAGAAGGCGATACCCGAGAAGTGGGCATGCTCCAGTTTGCCAGGGTTGACGAACCCTTTTTGTCCTGGGACTTCAGCTTGATGTCTGAAGACGGGCGGCTAGCGGGTTCTGTTAACCGCAACTTCGGAGGCTTCGCGCGCGAAATATTCACTGATACGGGTGTTTATGCGTTGAGAATGGACGCTGCCGGGCTGGCAAGTGAGCCGTCAGGCATGGTTTCCAAAACTGGTGAGCAGAGCCGACCATCACTAGAAGACTACCCTGGCATGACCCTTGATCAACGCGCCGTAATGCTTGCTACGGCTGTTAGCATCGACTTTGACTATTTCAGTCGACATAGTGGTTCTGGTGGCATGTGGCCAATGTGGATGCCATGGGTAGGTGGCAGTGGTGAAGCCGCGGGAGCTGCTGCAGCTGGTGAAGCGGGTGCTGCCGGTGCTGGGGCCGTAGGTGCTGCTGGCGAAAGCGGTATTGCAGGTGAGGTTGGCACTGCAGCGCGCGGACTGGGAGCTGGAGAGGGTGCTGCGACAGGTGCAGCTACAATGGCGGGCTACGAAGCTATGCAAAGAGGGCGAGAAGCCAGGCAACAAGAAGACGATGCTTCCCCACAAGCGACCGATCCGTATCAGCCCAACCCCGATCAACAGCCAGGTACAGGCCAAGTCGGTGAAGATGTCTGGGGCGAAGATCCTGGCGTCGGATCTCGGGGTCAAGATCAGGACTTCTGGGGTGGACAGGGTGGACAGAGTGGTGGCGATGCTGGAGACGGTGGTGATGGTGGTGGGTTTAGCTGGGGTGACTTTTTCGAAGAGTAAGGCTGTGCCGCTTCTTTTGTACCACCATTGTATCTTGTAGCATTGATACCATTTTAGATAACAAGCTCTATTGCTAAGGCAATCGTTGGGCAACGCGCTCATATACGTTTCTCCCGTAAGTCGGTTGAGTAGAGAAAAGAGCCCTAGATACTAGTCTGCGGCTGAGGTGGGGCTGTGCTAAACGGCTCAGTCCTTCCTTCTTCGTTCGCTTTTGCCTTCATACACGACTTCACTCAATCGCTTTGCGCGTCGTTACCTTATTTTCTACGAGGCGCTAGATCCAATTTGAGCTCAACTCTAGGCTTATCTTGGTACCGGAGCATACCATTCAGTCTTTGATTGATGAGGTGGACAAGCCCGACAACTCAGTCGGCAACGCAGCGAGAATGCCGCAGACATCGGACTTTTACAGGTATAGAGAACTGGACGGATCAAAGCAGCAGATCCGTCTCGCAAGATTGTTGCGATCTCAACCTGTGGCCAATACGCTATACAAGCGCGACTTCATTTACTGCGAACTTGAGATATTCGACATCAACACTGCACCCGAGTTCATCGCTCTGTCATACACTTGGGGTGGACCATCAGATAATAGGTATATCGCTATCAATAACAAGCTGCTCGCTGTTAGAATGAACTTGTTCGATTTCCTTTCCGCCTTTCGCTCAGACGGAGCCAATACCCAGTACCTCTGGATCGATCAGGTAGGTCCTACATCTACTTGTCTATGCATGCATGGACTAATCTCATCACTCAGATATGTATCAACCAACAGGACACGGCGGAACGTAATCATCAAGTTCGCCTAATGGCTCGAATTTACTCCGAATGCATCTATGTCATTGTTTGGTTAGATTTGTCTTCGTTAAGAGCAGCGCGAAGGTACTCCAAAAACAGGAATGCCGAGAATACTGAGGCTATCCTGAGAAACCGTTACTTCACGCGTCTATGGATCGTGCAGGAAGTAATGTTACCCAAAAAGGCACATATCCTGTGCGGTCACGTCTGGATGGACTGGGATGTCCTCTTCAAGGCTGCATTGTTTGCTGGATTTCTGGAACATCCAACTCTGTCGCCAATGACGTATTTACTTTCTAATCGTTATGCACACGCGGAGCCTGTTCGACCTGGGTATTCGCATCTACTGTGCAATCTACTACGTCAATTTTCTAGCATGGGCTGCGAAGACCCTCGAGACAAGCTATACGGTATGCTCGGCCTCATCTCTGAAACGCTACGGCCTATCGTGGATTATTCGAACACCAGGGAAGACGTCTACCTTGATGCCATCAGAATCCTTGGTCCATTTTTCTGCATGGACGCCTCGAATTGGTGGTGGCAGGACTTACCATTGAGAATGGGTGTCCCGTTGGCTCATGTTGTATCTTTGCAGCCTTTCGTCACTGGTCTACTTGCTTGTGGACAAAAAGAAAATAAAGTTGACCCAATATGGACTTTGCAAGATATGGGCTTTGTGAAAGCAGATCGAACGCGTCATTATCCGGGGCGATGGTGGTACGAGTACAAAGGCGTACGACATTACCACGACTGTATTTCCTCCAAGGACGAGACTGCAAGCTCGGAAGCTGCTTTGTGGTCCTTACTTGATGCTACGCCTGAACGAGGCTCGGGGTAACTGGGATACCCCGCATCATCGTCAATCTACCCCGGAAAAGTCCAGCTCCAGATTTCCCGCAGCGCCACCAGTCGGGGGTAATTGTTCCGTTAAACCCACGCTGCCGAAGATCCATCTATACCGACTGCGCCGATATAAATAGTAGCCAAGCTTGTTAGAGATCATTGTGACGATCATCAAGCCTTCGAAATCGTTTTCCGCTCTGCCGATATGAAGCTCACCGCGAGTTCAAGCGTCGTCTTGACACTGTTTGTGCATGCAAATGCTGCCCCCACGCATCCGAAGCAGAAACAAAGCTCTTTTAAATCGCATTCCACAGAATCTCTGATAGCCTTTGGGGATAGCTACACATACGTGCAGGGTACCCTCGGCCATCAAAACTACACCTTCATTGGCGATGAATTCAACTTCTCTTTTACGCCCGCACAGCTCTTCTCGAATCGTATCGTGCAGAACCTTACGGGAACGGCAGAAGGTGGCCCTAATTGGGTGGAGCTTTTGACTGGATGTGGTGTCGAGGATGGTTTGCACAATCCAAGAGAGTGCGACGTTCAGCTTTGGGACTTTGCATATGCTGGCGCGAACACTATCGAGGAAGCTGGATTCACACCCCTTCATCACAACCATACTGTCTCACTCGAACGGCAGATCGAACAGTTTGCCTCCTACGGCAATCCAGCTCTCGAATCTATTCATCTCAACAAGAAGAAAGCGCTCGTAGCGATATGGATCGGCATCAACGACATCAATGACCTTGTATCCACCCAAGGCAAGAACGCATCCTTTGCACCACTCTACGAGAAGATCCAGGACCGAGTTTTTGAGAACGTGGAGAAGATCTATGAGCTTGGCTACAAGGACTTCCTCTTCATGAATCTACCGCCTCTGGATCGTGGACCAGGCACGCCCAATGTCAACGCGTCGCTCGTTGCTTCTTTCAACACGATCCACGCTGCACATGCCAACGACTTTCAGTCCAATCATAAGGACGTGAAGGTGCTTCAGTTCGACGTGAATAGTGTTTTGAACTACGTTTTGGATCATTACCAAGACTACGGGTTCAAAAACGTCACCGACTACTGCCCTGGATATAATCAGCCAGATATCCTAACAAACCCAAGTCAGTATGGATGCACGGACTTGGATACGTACTTTTGGTACAATTCAGGGCACCTGACGAGCCGAACCCATGAAGTCATGACTAAGGCATTGAAGAGATGGTTGCTAAAGCAGTAAAAGAGACATAGACTATCATACGTTCTTAATATCATAGTGCGACATTTGTATCAGGGGGTTATGCCAGCCAATGAATACCGCTACAATGCCCAAACCCTCTGATCACCCCTACTGTCTGACCTTTCAAGCTTGTTCATCCTCCCATACCACAGCCTGAGTGTTGTAGCGATTGCCGCCACCAGGAAGCTACATGCCGCACACACGAAGTTGCCTGTCGGGAAGCCTTGACTTCGCTCGTCGTTCATCCAAATCCATTGCGCAATGATCTGACCAATACCTGCGCAGCTGTTGTGCAGCGCGATTGCGAGTGGCAAGGTGAGGAAGCTCGGCGAGTTGCAGGTCACCCAATTCGTCATGGAAGGTGCTGCAGGGAAGGCACCTGCAGCGGCCATACATAGGCAGCCGTAGCGCTGAACATAGGCGTCGGCGGGAAGAAGGCCAGCGGTCAGCCAGCCAGTACCTCCTATGAGTGATGCGATGGTGATATGCCACCCACGAGCGTTGAAGTGGTCCGCAGAGTAAGAGATTGTGATGGCTACGAAGAAGCCCACGACCCATGGTGGGACAGTCAGAAGTTGTGCATGAATGGACTCGTAGCCTAGTCCGGTAACGATAGTGGGCGTAAAGAACGTGAATGACCCCTGAGGAACGACGTCGGCTACATACGCAATGTAGTGTAGCAGCATGCGTGGACTGAAGCAGGTGTCCAAAATCTCTTTCTTGCTAGCATGTTCCTGATTATATCCACCGCCTCGGTCAGCCAGACGATCAATAGCGAATTTCTTTTCGGCGTTGCTGAGCCACTTCGCTCTAGCTGGGTAGTCGGGCAGGAAGAACCACAGAAGGAACGCCGATAGTAGGGTGATAATTCCTTCGATGATGAAGAGCCAGCGGAATCCTTCAAGACCTGCCGCTCCGTTGATATGGCCGACTCCGAATGCGATGGCGCCTCCGAAGGCACCAGCAAGGTTGCAGAACGCGATGACGAGAGCGATGCGAACAGCCCGCTCGTTATAGCGGTACCAGATCGTGATGAAGTAGACAATTCCTTCGATACGTAATCAGCGCAAGTTCATCAACCTCCATGTCTCATTGTAACACACCAGGAAAGAAACCGGCTTCGAAGACTCCGATCAAGAACCTCAAAGCGATGATCGTAGCACTGTTCTGTACACCCGCAAACCCAATCGTTAAGGCTCCCCAAGCGAAAAGAAGGATGCCGAGCCATCTAGAAGGTCGGATGTAGTGCTTCATAACGAAGTTGCTTGGTACTTCGAACACGGCATACGCGACGGAGAAGAGAGTGACGGTCAGAGCGTAGCCGTGAGGTGTCAGGCCCGTATTACTGAGCATGTCGTCGCCTGTCTCTGTGTTGAGCACGCGAGCATTACCAATGTTTCCTATTATTAATTTTAGCGATTGACGCGGGTGCTGAGATGGTAGGAGATGATGAGGACCATACCCCTATCAAGAAAATTCAAGAGATATACCCAGCAACACAGAGGTAGAACGCGTAGGTCTAGTTGCCGGTTGAGTTTCTTGTTGTACTTTTCGTCATAGACGTCTATCTCCCCGTGCTCTTGTAGCGTCTCATCATGGTTTTTGACCGTGTCGATGTCGACATCTTCGAGGTGTTCCTGCTTCTCGGGTTCTATAGGCTTGTCCATGGTGATATTCTCGTATACGATAGCTGAGCAACTCTAGGTAGTCTATTGTGAGCGAAGGTTCTTGCACCTTCCGTATAGCTTTGGTCAATGGTTATATAGTTCAGAATATCCATCTTACTTCGTTATCCCACAGCGGAACAACGCATCCGGATATACCAGTTGCGGCTTTACCCCAGATGTGCGGGGTAGAAGCCCACGTCTTCGCGCTGCATATTCCCTACCACGGAGATGATCCGCGATCCATCCGCTGTGGGACGAGAATGTCGGTGTTGTCGCCGATGGTATTGTTCGTTGGGGTGCGGAACCAGTTTGGCCTCCGAGAAGAAGCCCAGGAAGCTACCCATGTACGTCATCGAAATGATTCACGTGCATCTACGAGGTTCTTGAGGTAATCTCTGTATGCGTTCGTTGCTAGTAATAATATATCCTGATTCCCAGCGAAGATGCTAGAATGTGGGTGCATCCGGTCAAGATGAGGCCTCGAAATACCTAGGTAGCCTCGGAGAGCGCGCACTGAGCACGGGCCTGCTTCCAATTGGATCCAATTTACCCATACGTCATCTCGCTTCACATGAATCTGAGGAGGCCCGGGGTCATCTACCGTGAACTCTCGTCACCATTACTCGTGTTCTCCTACGTTCCTGGCGCGCAACATTAATCCGAATCGTTATCGGTCAATCTATCTAATATGATAATGGAAAGAACCATAACGAGTAGACCTATAGCAACAGTAATCTGTAACGTAAAGGCAACCCAGACCATAGTGATTGCGCTGACTCCGATATCCGTTCGGATATTCCCGTAGTTGGCTGACTCTGCCATTGCAGCTGCACCCACAGATCCCACATGCTGCCACAAACTCGCGATAAGTAGCTGCACTGCAGCAACAAAACTCGCTGCGAGCGCAACTTGTGAGACGGGACGCGACGGAAAGGGTCTTACATCTACGTCAGACCCCGTTCGTTCATCTCGCTCTTCGTGCCACCCCGGAAATGTTGCGAGAAGCAATATAGTGACAAATGCGAGGACTACAGCAATGAATAGAAGACCGGAGAAGAGAACTTCGTTCTTGAACTTTGCAGCAGCTCCTATCAAGTTCAGCGGGTCATTTTCGTACCCAATTTGCTGCGCCAGACCATTATGGTCGGAGCTACAAAGCCAGACGATACCACGTTGGCGCACGCACATCCCAAAGTACCCCGCTCGGACTTCAAGCTCGGCGGATCCTTTCAGGCCATTCAATGTGTCAAGCAACACATCATGACCTTCAGTAGTGCGTTTCGAAGTCGAGTTCGTATACGATAAACCGAGGACGTAGATGTTTGTCATGGTCGAATAGCTTGCGCACCCAGCCAGAGATATTGCTATGGATACAGTAAGTATGATACTAATCCATGAACTTCAGATCAGTAGCTTACAATTCAGTACAATCACGACAGTCAGCAGAATCATCAACATATGATGATAGCCGAAGAACGGAATTAGTCCTGTTGACATGGTCAGTTTAGACAGAGAACTATATTTTAAATTGACTGACTTTGAAAAGACACTGCAAAGCGTAGGTTCGCCATCGCTACCTCGGTATTCAAGAATCACGCGCTTAGAGCTGATTCACAACACGCATCTGAAGTATGGAATATCTGGCTTTCAAGCTGATATTAGTTCTTTCATACAGTATATGCCGATGTGCAGGTTCCAATTGATGTGGTGTAAATTTCCTTGCGGGAAGTGCGGCTCTCGACTGGTTTTTAAGCCGCCCCGCAGACGTTTTGGCGTATGTGTGATACGTCGCATGCATGTAGCTGCACGCACACTGCACGACTGTGCCACCAGGCGCTTACCTCGATGCTGGACAGCCCGACGGGCTTACCTCCGGCCTCGCATCAGTGATACAACCACAAACTCAACCTGCGTCCATGCAGAACGCCTACCTATACTTCTTCAGCCGCACCTGAAACTAACAGCTACGAACCACGATACAACAATGGGCATACAACGTCTTTCTTATTGATGCGCGGAAACGCAGAACACAAACCCTGGACACATTAGCGAGCGCCAAACAAGAAAATTGCAGGGGTCAACATTGCCTTGCCGGTGAACACGAGCGTGGGTCGTAGGCGCAGAGATGGAGGACGACCAACAAGCAACATGTGGTCATGAAAGGAGTTCGGAAGACAGTGTATACAGTCCCAAAGATTCACCGGGTTACACGCGAGACGATGGGCCAGCATTTGAGGATTTGCAGCAGGACAATGGCCAAAATGACGCTCACCCACGGGCAGACTACAAGACCAAGGACGGATCGATTGATGACTGCAGTTCTGGACACTCTAGAACTCCAAGTGCAGATTACCGCGGTAAGATCTTGACGAGTTCCGCACCATCTCTCATCCTTCAACAACAGGCAAGACCCCGCACATCACTAGATGATCTACAGACCCGCCACCCGAGACGATTACCGTCAGAGTGCCGGACGACCAGCGCAAGCGCAATCACTCTACCCTCATCTCGTTCATCTTCAATAGATCAGCCGTCCATCCGAGATCTATGTCGGACTAGCGAACCCAAGTCCGTGGAACGATCAATAGTGCGACCAGAACGGGCAGCTTCTTCTGGGGGGATGCGCGAACGTGGGAGAGCAAAGTTCCGAGCAGATGCAGTCTCCGAAGAAGAAGCGATAAAAAGAGAAGAATCTCCGAAAGTGAAGGACAGAAACGCGAGGGATCAATTCCAGCAATCGCGTTCACCAGAGCGTGAACCAATCAGGCAGCGACCCGAAGGCGATGCACCGCGACGACCAGAGCTGAGCAAGCTCTGGAAAGCAGTCTTAATAGCATTGGAGTCAAGCGGGAAACTCCGACAAAAACCAAAGCAGCAACAACAGGAGGTGCAACAGGCGGCGAACAACAATGAGGCAGAGATCTATCGCATGGGTCTGCTCACATCGGCCAACCGCTTTTCGAATCTACATCATGCTAGTGCCGTAACTACACGGCACATTTGGAGTTCACACATCATGTTATATGATATACTTGAGACACAGCAGCCTAGTGCCTCTACTCTCCAAGCTCTCTGGCCTGATGCACACTCGCGTTCGGCACCGACATATGAGGACTTCCGGAATACGTTAAGGCGTACTCCAGCTCGGTGTCATCTCAGAATGATCTTTGTGGAAGATCTAAATCCTTCATTGATTGATTACCTGGGTGCCACCTTCCAAATTCCACCAGGTGTGTTCGAAAAACATTTGGATGGGTCCGGCTTTGCAGGCGAATCATTCGATGACAAGAAGCCAGCGCGGTGGTTGAATCACTCCTCTAGTCCTGATTGTTC